AGGCATATGTGTTGTCCTCAGTACATTTTGGATTGTATGAGTTTATTTTTGTCTCTTGAATTCACTTATAAACAACTCAAAGGCTGCGTTTTTAGCCAACAAATAGGGAGAAAAAAACCTCAGAATTTATTTTGTCATTTTTCAGTAGGTTGAGTTATGTTGGTTGTGATAACTTAGTGAAAAAGCTGTGTAGCAAGTAAATCCCACAAATGGTTTATTATGAGCGTTTTGTTGTGCTATGCCTTTTTTTTTTTTTAAAGCACCCTGATACCTTTTTTGTGTTAAAAGAAACCCACATTGTGTGGATCTTGGGTAGGAGGCAGGTGAACCCTGGCTTCTACTTAAGAAAGCCTAAATACGGGGTTGGAGGCTCATAGTGTCCTCTTCTCTCATGTGCCCTGAAGTCTGTCCATGGCCACTGCAGTGGCTGTATAAGTATCTGGGATCAGTGCCCCTCAATCTTTTTCCTCCATCACCCTGAGTAGGAGACTTCCATTCTCAGGGTTGCTTGTGGTCACAAGATAGTAGTTGCATCCTCCTCTCCAGGTAGAAAGAAGGAGAATATGGGGAACAGCAAAAGGACACTTTCCAGTTTACCCTGCAGTCCCATTCAGTAATTTCCATTTCCATCTCCTTGTCTATCTTTCTTAAAACTGAGGAACAGATAGTGACTATAACAGCAATCATTTATTTTTCACTAGTGGGTCTGGATCAGCTGCAAGTTGCGGTTCAGATCTGTTCTCAAGCCTATGGTTCTAGGACCCAGAAAGGGAAAGCAACTGCCATGGACAGTCTCTTAGGTGGATGTCAGAAACCCAAGAGGAGTGAGCAGAGACACAGAGGCTTCTTACAGTCTTATCCTCCTTAGTCCCATCAGTGGAAGCCAGAGCAAGTGTGAGTAAGCACAGAGCCAGTGGATGGGGAGGATGATCAATGTCCACAGTCCATGGGGCAAGAGCAGGTCTGAAGAAGAATGCAAGAGGCAGGACACTCTACTCCATCTCATTGGCTAGAATGTTGGTCCAGCTGTGCTGTGAAGCTGGGAAACAAAGTATCTTCTCCTAGCTGAGCACAGGGTCCTATTAGGAAGGCAGATGAAGAACCCAAGTGTTGGGGGTAGCTGGCAGTGCCTGCCATAGGGGACAAATACTCCCTACCTTTGCTCCCTGCAAACTAGGGGATGGTGATAAGACTAAAGCTTGGCCAAACCATTTTGCCTTAAGGGACTTTGACTCTTGAGGGATAGTGAGAGATAATGGTAGTGGCACATGTGTCAGAAAGCAAGTAGTGGTGGCTAATTTCCAGTGATGGGGTGATGATGATGCCCAGGGAGGGTGTGCAGCTGCTTTTATGAGCTTTGTTTTCAGTTACACAATCACTTTTCTGGGCTTAGTTCTCTAGTCTCTCCATTTCCAGCTCTTCTGGCGTGGGGGGGGGCAGTAAACAAACCCCTTTGTAATTGAAGTTAGAGTTGGGTTTTTTTGGCTTGCAACTTAGGACCTTAATATATAGGCAAGGAAAAAAACATGCTTTCACAATTTTATCTCAAGATAATAGAGGATCATAGGCTTTTTGAGCCATGTTGCTGTAGGATTAAATCTCAGCTTTTATACCTATTATTTGTCAAGTCACTTTTCTGTCCTTGAGCTTGTGTTGTCTTTGGTTAGATGCTACTTTGGTGTGTTGTTTAATATTCATTCAGTAAGACTGTATGTAAAGCAGTGATTGTGAAAGTATTGGGAAAATGTTCTGGTCTGAGCTTTTGGATTGACTGCACATCATGTGAGTGATGGGCCACTGGTGCTCACTGAGGCTCTCCAGTAGACTCTGGACTCCATCAAATCACAGTGCTTGACAAACAGGCTGGCTATTCAGTGAGTGAATGAATAAATGAATGAATGAACGAATGAACGAACGAACGCTTAGGTGTAATTCCATGAAATTTGGGTGAGTCTGAATGTTTGGATTGGGAAAAATAGTTCAGCTGCAAATCACCAACGAATCATCCTAGCTTAATGCCTCTGACCCAGCAGTGGAAACAGTTATCTTGGGCAGATTTTTAAATTTCCTTTTTAGTCTAGACTTGAATGCAACAATCCTTATTGCTTACTAACTACTGGTCACCACTAATGAACAAAGAATATGAACAGGAAATTCATAAAAGAAAAGATACAGGTGGCTAATGAAAACAGGAAAAGAGTTCTGCTTCAGTGATTATCAAAGAGACACAAATGAAAACAAAGAAGATGCATTATCACCTACCAAATTTGTAAAGGTCAAAATGACAAAAAGAGCTCTGGCTGATGTGGCTCAGCAGATTGAGTGCCAGCCTGCGAACCAAACTGAAGGATCTCCAGTTTGATTCCCAGTCAGGGCACATGCCTGGGTTGCGGCTGGGTCCCTGGTGAGGTGTGCAAGAGGCAACCCACACACACATTGAGGTTTTTCTCCCTCTCTTTCTCCCTCCCTTCCCCTATCTCAAAATAAATAATAATATTTTTTAAAAATAAAAGGACAAAAAAGAACTAGTGTCAGCTAATATTGGGATCTACTCTTGCTACGCATCTTGCTCCCCATCTACTGGGCCAGCCTGCACACACAGCCAAGTGAGGCCTTTCCTGGTCTACCAGCATATTTGGATCCACTGTTAAGCAGATGACCTACCCACACGGTTCACAACCCAGGAAGTGCAAACTCTAGAGTTTTGCTACCATCATTTGAATTGTGTTTTAATTGATGTCTGCTCTGTGAGTGCCCCTGCTACCACCCAGGCCTCTCGGTAGGGAACAGCTGCCCCCAGGGTCCTGTGTATGTTTTTTGATGTGTTCTGTGTACATAGGCACACTTGAAAACCTATTTTTATTTCCCCTGCACCTGCTTGGGTCAGGTATATTTTTGTCTGTTTTGTCTACTTTACTAAATTCACTAGCATGAAGTTGTGCATATCTTTTTATAAACTTTTGTAATATCTGTATGTATGCCTCATTTTTCATTCTAGAGTTGTTTGCTTGTATTTTCTCCCTTTTCCCCTTGTTTTAGTACAATTTTATTGGTTTTATTAAAGTCTTTCAAACAGTGAACTTATGGGCATCATTGTCCTTTATCACTATATGTCTCTTTTCTAGTTCATTAAGTTCTGCTTTTTATCTGTATTATATCTTATACTTTCTTGGAGTATGTTCCCCAGTTTTATTTTTCTCACTTCTTAAATTATAAACTTAGCTCATTGATTTCCAACCTTCTTTTCAAATATAAGCAAATAATGCTGACCCTCAAGCCATTTCAGCTACATTCAGAAAGTTTTTGATGTGTAGTCCTACCACTTTGTCAGCTTGAAGGTTTTTTTGGTTTTTTGTTCTTTGGGTTGTTTGGGTTTTTGTTTTTGTTTTTGTTTTGTTTTTTAGGTTGAAGGGTTTTTAAAATTTTCTTTGTGATGCTTTTTTTGAACCACAGATTATTTAGAAATGTATTTTTTAAATTTCTAAGCACATGTCTTTGTGGTTTTTTCTTAGTTACTGTTTTAAAAAAATCAAGTTCTAGCTAAATTGTACTGTGACCTGGGAACTTGGTATGTGTTACACCAGCCCTCGCAGCTTGTTGAGAAGTGTGTGGCTGCTGAGTATGGTGTGTAGCTGCCAGGCGGGGATGTGGAAGGCTGCATAAACTCATCACCTTAGTCTTGAGCTTCACCCATAGGGTTATAAAAGTATCCTCTCTTTTACTGTTATTTTGTCTACTTGATTTACCCACTGCTGGGAAACGTTTATCACAGTCTCTTGCCTTGCTGGTGGACACATCAGTTTCTCCATGGGCTTTATTAATTTTGGCTTTATTATTCTGAGGCCTTTTAGAAACTATTTTATTTTCCTGGTAAATTGAACTTTTTCTTGTTTTGAAGTGACCCTCTATAATTAACAGTGCCTTTGCATTGAATTTTACTGTGTTTGACAGCAGTGGTACTGCACCACCTGTGGTTTTGGTCAGCACTGCAGCTTTTCATCTTTTTCCCTTTTGTGTGTTTATGGGTTAGATGCAAGTTAGCTGGGTTTTTAAAAAATTCATTCTGTTTTATCCATTAACACCTGTCTAATTACTGATGCATCTAGATTTGTTTATACCATATTATTTTGTACATTCCAGTTTTTCTACATTTTCTGTTTCTTCTTTTTTTTTTCTGTCTTGCCTTCTCCTAGATTGATTTTTTTAAATTGTGGTAAGATACACATAATATAAAATTTACCATCTTAACCATTTTTAAGTGTACAGTTCAGTGGCATTAAATTCAGATTGTTGTACTACTATCATTTGAATTGTGTTTTAATTGGTATCATGCTGTATATATAGTGCCATACCCTGCATTTTCATTTTTCAATAGAACCTTGTTATGGACTAAAGTGTTTGTGTTCCCCCCAAACTCACCTGTTGATGCCCTAACCCCTGATGTGATGATACTTGGAGACAAGGCCTTTGGGAAGTAGAGTTAGATGATGTCATGAGGATGGAACCCTCATGATGGAATTAGTGTCCTTTTAAAAAGAGACACCACGGAATTCTCTCTGTGTCATGTGCCATGAGTACACAGTGAGAAGGCAGCTGTCTGCAATCCAGGAAGAGGGCCCTCACCAAATAGCAAATCTGTGGGCACTTTCATCTTGGACTTCCAGCCTCCAGAACTGTGAGAAATAAATTTCTAATGTTTAACCTACCTGGTCGGGCTATTTGGTTATGGCAGCCTAAGCAGACTAAGACATCCATGTTTTGAAAAACAGTAAACATCCTTTTAAATATATCTTACATTCCATTGCAAATTTAGCGTATCTTTCATCTTGGCCTTCTGTTGGCTCACTACCTCTTGCCTTTGGATGCCCCATATCTTTTCTGTGCCAAGCTTTCCAAAAGAGTAGTTTTTATATACATGATCTCCACCTCCCCATTGGCCAACCCTAGGATTGCTTCTCTACTCTGTCCTTCCACATGCAGTGATTCTAGATGAGCTGCTGTCTGCCTGCCTTATCAGGATCCACTCATGGAATCCATACCAGCTAAAGAGTCAGACTCATCCTTACCCATACCCCACAGGTGAGAACTTACCAGACTCGAGCATTTATCTTAGTGGCCTTTCCATGGTATGTGAAAATGTTGCTTTCCTTCTTGTAGCTCTTCACTGGTAAAAAGGGGAGTTAAACCAGGTCATGCTCTTTGGTCCTCAACTCTTTGTCCTCTCTCCTGGTCCCAGGTGATGGTGAAGTCACCTATTGCTGCATGTGCCCCCTGCTCTGCCGAAGCCGCTGAGAGCAGTGTCTGCCTCTGCTCACTAGCCACAACCTCCCCTTGTCACCTCTGGCGTAGCACTGGTTACACTCCTTATTTAATGAATAACCTTTGTAGGTATGCCTGAACTGTAGGAGGAAGGCAGTTGGCAGCAAGGAGTGAGTCCACTTAGACCTAGAGGTGGCACGTTAAATACTAAAACCAAAAACTGAGCTCAGCTAGGCTCAAGTGTCCCACCGAATAAGAGTTTCAGGTATATCTACATAGTGGTTTCCTGAGCATGACTCAGTTTGATGGTTGATCCTGGGAGTACAGAAAATAATTTTAAGTTGAATGAGGTATTACTAATGAATGAATGTCTCTGTTACCTCCAGGAACCTCTGATCTTCCAGAATGTGGTCTTGTGGACCTAGAGATGCTGTCAGAAAGCTAAAGTTAGCTGGACAGGTCCTTCTTCACCCAGGCAATGTCCCATCTCCCACTACTTGGGGGGCTACTCTGTCAGGAGCCTCTCCTTGCCCACTGGATAGTCTATGGATGACTCTGGTTTTCACCTGACATCCCATTAGGTGGCGACAGAGAGCACTAAAATGAAGTGTGAAGGAAATAAAACTTGTTTTGCATCATGTTAGGAAAAGACTCATGGGGTGTATGTACAGTTTAATCAGATTTTAACCATGCAAGGCATTTAAAAGTTTTTCCCCCTTTTTTTCCCTCCCTCCCATTCTCCTCAACTCACAGTTTGCCCTACTGCACCCCAGCCTCCCCCTGTATAAGATGGTCAGATCAGAAAGCTGAACAGCCAAACCCCCATGTCCTCTGGTCTCTGTCATACCAGATAGCAGCACCAATCATCAAGCTGGGAACTCGAGAGTCTCCTGCCCTGCCCTTCACTGCCCACATCCCAGGAGCCGGCCAGACCTGCCATTTTCCTGTACTTCTCCAGCCTCCCTCTTCATCCCTTTCTCCACTGACGTGGTTCAAGCCCTCATCTCTCTAGAACTCTTACAATAACTTGCTAACACTCCTACACATTTGTATCTTTTATGCAGTTCCTAGACTTAGATATAACTCCCCTGCTTTATTCCCAAAAGTAGTACCCCTGTCTTCAGATGGTGTTGAGGCCCCTAATGTGACCCCTGGCTCTTTCTGGCCTCCTGTTACTGCCCCGTTTCTCACAGGTGAACCCCTCAGCCATACAGAACTGCTTTCTATCTATTGCTGCATTTCTTCCTATTTATTTTTGTTATTTTAAATTATATTTTATTGATTATGGTATTACAGTTGCCTCAATTTTTCCCCTTCGCTCCCCTATACCCAGCACCCCCACTCCCTCAGGCCATCTCCACACTATTGTCCATGTCCTTGGGTCATGTGTACAAGTTACTTGGCTGCTCCATTTCTTATACTATACATTACAACCTTGTGGCTGTTCTGTAACTATCTATTTATAGTTCTTTATCCCCTCACCTCTTTACCCATTCCCCCACACTCCCCTCCCATCTAGAAACCATCAGAACACTCGTGATTCTGTCTCTGTTCTTCTTGTTTGCTTAGTTGGCTTTTTAGATTCAATTGTTGACAGGTATGTATTTATTGCCATTTTATTGTTCATAGTTTTTATCTTCTTTTTCTTAAATAAGTCTCTTTAACAATTCATATAATGTTTGGTGATGATGAACTCCTTTAGTTTTCTCTTGTCTGCAAGGCTCCTTATCTGCCTTTTCAATTCTAGATGATAGCTTTGCTGGGTAGAGCAGTCTAGGCTGTAGGTCCCAGCATTTCATGACTTGGAATATTTCTTGCCAATCCCTTCTAGCTGCAAAGTTTCTTTAGAGAAATCAGCTAGCATTCTTATGGGAACTTCCTTGTAGTTAATTAACTTTTCTATTACTGCCTTTAAGATTCTTTATCTTTAACCTTTGGCACTTTAATTATGATGTGTCCTGGAGTGGGCTCTTTGCATCCACCTTGTTTGGGACTCTCTGTGCTTCCTGGACTTGCATGTCTATTTCCTTCACCAAAGTAGGGAAGCTTTCTTTCATTATTTTTTCAAACAGATTTCCAATGTCTTCCTCTTTCTCTTCTCCTTCTGGCACCCCTATGATGCATCTGGTGGACCTCTTGAAGTTGTCCCAGAGGCTGCTTATACTATCCTTTTTGGTGGGGGGGGGGTAGAGGATTATTTTTTCTTGTTGTTCTCATTGGTTGTTTTTTGCTCACTTATGTTCCAAATCATTGATTTGATTCTCAGCTTCATCCACTCTACTATTGTTTCCCTGTAAATTGTTATTTCAATTAGTAGATCTTTTTTATGCTGTTGAGGTCCTTGCTGTTCCTTGAGCATCCTTATAACCAGTGTTTTGAACTCTGCATCTGATAGATTGCTTATCTCCATTTCGTTTAGTTATTTTTCTGGAATTTTGATCTGTTCTTTCATATGAGCCGTGTTTCTTTGTCTCATTTTAGCAGCCTTCCTATGTTTGTTTCTGTGTATTAGTTAGAGCTTCTATGACTCCATGTCTTGGTAGTGTGGTCTAATACAGTAGTTGTCCTGTAGGGTTCAGTCACACAGACTCCCCTGCCACCCAGGCTGGGTACTCAAGATGTGCCCATCATGTCAGCTGAGTACACCCTCCTCTTGTAGTTGGGCCTTGATTGCTATTGGCAAGTCAATGAGAAGGATTTATTCAGGCCAGTCAGCTGCAAGGACTGGCTATGACCACTGACCACCAACCTGTGCCCTCTGTGGAGGATCAGTTCTGGAGGGGCAGGGTGGTGGTGCTCTGACATGATCTGTAGCTGCCCACTGGGTGCACTGGCCCTGGGATTTCCGGGATGGTGCAGGCCAAGGTCAGCCCCCACCTGTGTTTTGCCCAGAGCCACCCTGCTTGGGCTGTAAAGCAATCTGAGAAGGCCGCTAATTGTGCTGGGCTTGGAGATTCCCAGGCAAAGCCAAGCTGTGAATCTAGGCCGGCTGCTGCTAGTGCCAGACCTGGGGCCACTAAGGAAGAGGTACGGGGACTGGGGACTCACTGAGGCCAACTGTTGCTCGTTTGAGAGGATTTAGAAAGTTGTAAAGCATGAGCCAAGACCAGCCATTCACATGGAAAAGTCTCTGTTAACAGCTTGGGTGGGCCCAAAAGTTGAGTGGGACAGGGTGAGTCTCAGGGGATCTCCAGGGCTGGTCAGACAGTGTTAGCCAGGTTGATGGAGTCTCAGATATGGCACCTGTCTGCCTGTTCAGTTGACTCTGTGGGGAGAGGGTTCAGGAAGGGGACAATGGCCTCTGCCCACTTTTCCATCTGGGAGAAAGTTGGCCCCTAGCTCTTGCCTTTGATGCCAGATACTCAGTTTCTCTCAGTATGCCACTGGTGCCTTTCAAGCTGCTATGCCAGTGCTGAAGCTGAGAAAGAGTGAATCTGAGTAAGTCCATGTGTGGGTTCTTTCAGAGGAACTGCTTGGGGCTTCAGCAGTTTCTTCCTTCAACTCAGGCCCCGCTGATTTTTGCAGTAGAAGTTGTTAGCTTCCTGGCACTGGACCCCTGGGCTGGGGGCCTGGTGTGGGGCTGGGACTCCTCCCTCCTGAGATATCCCTCCCCATTTTTATCCATCACACATGGGTGCAGGACCAGCCCATTCTGTATTTCCACCCCTCGTACCAGTCTGCTTAGATGTGGTTTCTTTAATTCTGCTATTGTCAGACTTCCAGTCAACTTGATTTCTGACAGCTCTGAATGATGGTTGTTTTATAATTTAGTTGTAATTTGATGTGGTTGTGTTAGAAAGTATGTTGTGTTTACCTGTGCCACCATCTTGACCAGAAGTCTCTATTTATTTTTGAAGACTCAGCTCAGGTGTCTCTTCCTGCAGAGAACCCTTCTTAAAGGGTAGAGCAGAGAGTGGAGAGTGGAGGCCCCAGCCACATTACATCCCTCCTTTCTTGCTCCCATTTCATACCAAGAGAGCAGCCTTGTAAACTCTCAGGGCCCATGTACACTGGGCAGGAGGAGGAGCCATGTCTTCCATTTTCACAATGCATGCTCTCCAAAAACCATGCTGTGGTGTTTATTCCACTCAGCACTCAGCTTTCCAAGCCCACACACTCTCTGTCACAGGGTTGCTTATTGCCCCAAACTTCCCTCCCCCTCCATTGAGGATTAGTGATAGGCCCACAATCTTTGTCTCTCTGACTCAGTCCTTTCCATCCCACAAGTAACTAAGTCCCACATAGATGGCCCTTCTAGCACCTGGCTCACCACCTCCTTGATCACCTCTTCTCCAGTGACCTCAGCCACCCACTGCCACCATCACAGCCTAGACTTTGTTATCATTGGAAACTGCTCCACCCACAGAGCTTTAACTGCTCTGCTGGTGACAGATTTCTTATGCTCCTAGCTCTCAGGTTCCATGTTCCCTTGGACTCTGTCAGTTTTCCTTCCTCATGAATCATGCCCATCATCCTACAAACAGGTTTTAGAATTTCCCATCTTCACTAAGCACTCCCTCCTCTGCTCCTGCTCCACTCTCTGTTCCCCCTTTAGCCAAGCTCTTTAAGAGTTGGCCACCCACTCTTCTCTCTCCTCACCTCCCACTCTTTACTCAGCCCACTCCACAGAGTCTTTCTTCTCCACATTTCACAGAACAGTCTTGTCACTCCCAGAGGATGTCCACATTGTCATGGCCATCGTCAAGTCCTCCTTTTGACATGGTTATTCCCTCCTGGAAATTATGTATATCTTCCGGGACATTACCTTCTTGTACAGAATCACTGGGTAGTCTTTTATTTTCTTTGACTGCCTTATTGCACATCTGAGCCGTTTCTCTGTTGGGGAAACTCACCCCGCTTTGGGTTTGATGGGAGGTCAAGTGACTTTTGACTGTAGTTGCTGAAAATGCCATTAGCTTCTTTCCTAGTTTCCCTTTCAGCTAGGGCAGGTATCAGCAAACTACATCTCAAGGCCAACTCTGGCCCACTGCCTGTTTTTATGAATAAAATTTTATTGCAATCCAGCCCCACCCCTTCCTTTATGCACTGTCCGTGGCTCCTCTTCCACTATACCGGCAAATTGG